AAATGGTGATAGATTTGCAAACCTATGTGTCTTCAATAAACTGGTCATAGGTGGCACCATATTTCCACACAAAAACATACACAAAGCCACAAACTCAACAAATTCAGCATAGACCTCAGCAATAGGTTCCAGGCCTTTCATGATCTACTCAATGGAGAGGGAACTACCATGGAGAGCAACTAGAAAGGTATCAAGGAGGCAATCGTTTCAACATGTCAGGAGGTTCTGGGTCAAAAGAATCACCATCACATGGAATGGATCACTGTTGGTACACTGGATAAAATTGAAGCAAGGAGGAACAAGAAGGGAGCAATCAATATCAGCCGAACCAGAGCGGAAAAAGCCAAGGCACAAGCCGAATACACAGAGGCAAACAAGCAAGTGAAGAGGAGCATCAGGACCGACAAACGTAAATATGTGGAAGATTCAGCGATGACTGCGGAAAAGGCTGCAAGAGAGGGAAACATTAGACAACTGTATGATACAACAAAGAAACTTAATGGAAATCACCGTAAGCCAGAAAGACCAGTGAAAAGCAAGGAAGGCAAAGTAATCACCGACATTGAAGAACAACGAAACAGGTGGGTAGAACACTTCAAAGAACTCTTGAATCGACCAGCTCCGCTGAACCCACCCAACATCGAAGCAGCACCCACAGACCTCCCAATCGATGTAGGCCCACCAACAATTGAAGAGATCAGCATGGCCTTTAGACAAATCAAGAGCGGCAAAGCAGCGGGACCAGACAACATCCCGGCAGAGGCACTGAAAGCAAATGTAGCAGCAACTGCAAAGATACTACACATCCTTTTCAGTAAGATTTGGGACGAAGAACAAGTACCAATAGACTGGAAAAAAAGACTTCTGATCAAGATACCAAAGAAAGGTGATCTTAGCAAGTGCGACAACTACAGGGGCACCACTCTCCTCTCAATACCAGTAAAAGTCTTCAACAGAGTAATGTTAAACAGGATGAAAGATTCCGTAAACGCTCAACTTCGAGATCAACAAGCTGGATTTCGTAAGGATAGATCGTGCACAGATCAAATCGCAACTCTACGTATCATCGTGGAACAATCAATCCAATGGAACTCATCACTCTACATCAACTTCATCGACTACGAGAAGGCATTTGATAGCGTGGATAGGACGACACTATGGAGGCTTCTTCGACACTACGGCGTGCCTGAGAAGATAGTCAATATCATACGGAACTCCTATGATGGACTAAACTGCCAAATCATGCATGGAGGACAACTCGCTGACTCGTTTGAAGTAAAGACCGGTGTTAGAAAAGGTTGCTTACTCTCACCCTTTCTCTTTCTCCTGGTGATCAACTGGATCATGAAGACGTCAACAACTGGAGGAAATCACGGGATACAGTGGACAGGCAGGATGCAGCTTGACGATTTAGACTTCGCGGATGATCTGGCTCTTCTATCACAAACGCAACAACAAATGCAGGAGAAGACAACCAGTGTAGCAGCAGCCTCAACAGCAGTAGGTCTCAATATAAACAAAGAGAAAAGCAAGACTCTCCGATACAATACAATATGTAACAATGAAATTACACTTGACGGAAAAGCTTTGGAGGATGTGAAAACCTTTACATATCTGGGCAGCATCATTGATGAACACGGTGGATCAGATGCAGATGTGAGGGCGCGGGTCGGCAAAGCAAGAGCAGCATACCTACAACTGAAAAACATTTGGAGCTCAAAACAATTGTCAACCAACACCACGGTTAGAATTTTCAATACAAATGTCAAGACAGTTCTTCTGTATGGGGCGGAGACGTGGAGAACTACGAAAGCCATTATCCAGAAGATACAAGTGTTTATCAACAGCTGTCTACGCAAGATATTTCGGATCCGTTGGCCAGACACTATCAGCAACAAGTTACTGTGGGAGACAACAAACCAGATTCCATCCAGCGGAGGAAGAAATCAGGAAGAAGCGCTGGAAGTGGATTGGGCACACTTTGAGGAAATCACCCAATTGCGTCACAAGACAAGCCCTCACATGGAATCCTGAAGGTCGAAGGAGAAGAGGAAGACTAAAGAACGCATTACGCCGAGAATCGTAGACAGACATGTGAAGAATGAACAAGAACTGGATAAAACTAGAAAAGAAGGCCCAGGACAGAGTGGGTTGGAGAAAGCTGTTCGGCGGCCTATGCTCCATTGGGAGTAACAGGCGTAAGTAAGTAAATATAAGTTAGGTAGTGATCACGCTTGCATGGTCAAGCCATACCATACCGATTAATTGTTCCTGAGTTCACTATATTCGATATTCCTTAGGAGCTAAATGTTGGACATGAATCTTCTCAGTTATATCATGTTCAGCTTCGACGATGATATGTCTAAGAATTAATAACTTGACGTTACTTTCCCATCAAAATCAACGTGACGTTGGTTCAGCACAATGTTAAGTGGAATTTTTTGCTCGTAGGAGGTTACTGGGAAAATGGATAAGAATCCTCTAGGCGCTAAAATACTGAAAGATAAACCAAAAAGAAGACACCGGCAATAGATCGGACCCATGACCTCTAGACCAGCGAGCCGGCATACAACGGTGTTGATGTTCAACTTCAACCAATCCACGACGTTGCACGATCATCCTCCATTGTCTTCGGAGAGTAACTACCTGACACCTAATACGGTTGAACTCGACAGGTCACTGCTTCCTACAATAGCTCCAAGAATGATCTCTCAAAGACAGCCATTTTTGAACGCTTGAAAAGTATCAGTATAGGGTATAGTTCGGTTAGGCTAAACCACAGCCTGTTTCTGCATTTTTGATTGGTTGACAATTACATATTTTATCAGGAATCAGAAATGTTTGAAGCACAATAGCAATGATAATCATCATAATAACTTAATACACAGAAAATGCAACATATTCATTGTGTAGTCAAATTTACTGTAGTGCAAGATAACGTACCGAGCAGCCAAATATGTTAAAGAAATAAATTCATTAGGCACTTAATCATCAACAGGGACGTGCCTAACATTACATACTTACTTACCTACGCCTTTTACTCTCTGTCGAGGAGCAAATGCCGTCCACCAGCATTTTACATCCAATTCTGTCGTCGGCAATTTCTTCCAGTTCTTTAGAGTTGCTATTCATCCTTTTCATGTCTGTTTCCGATTCTCGACGAACTGTGTTCTTCAGTCTTCCCTTTTTTCCATTTTCCTACACGGTCTCAAGCTGGGGCTTTCCTCGTGATACAGTTTGGTGATTTCCTCAATGTGTGTCCCATCCACTTCCAGCATCTTTTCTTAGCTTCCTCTCCAACTGAAAGCTAATTTGTCTTATCCTGCAGTGTGTTGTTGCTGATGGCATTGTTGGGGCAGTGAAACGTCAAAGGATACTGAATTTCTTGTCTAGACAATTCTATATAAACACCTGTTCATTTTTGATGGTTGCTATGTTGATTCTAGAAGTTTATGCCCTTCATAGTAGAACTAATTCTACGTTCACGTTGAAGCTACTGAAAACTCTATCTTCAACAATGAGGTTAACAACAAATGTTTCCAACAGAAGTCCATGTGTAACAACAGACAATCACTCCCACGCTTTATCAACTGTATAGCATATAATAAAATTATACAATAAATGCGAAATATGGCCGAAGCTAAACAACAAAAGTCTAATCGACGAAGGGTAAAAAATATAAAAGTGGGACTACATCAGTCCAAGAAAAATGTAGATATATAGAAAAAGCCTGTAAAAATTTGTGGAAGAATAGAAATATTGTCAAATGAGGCAATTAGTATAGATTATCAGAGTATTCATTCTGGGATGGGTGCATGGTCAGTACGGCTGATAAAAGTGACAGTAATGAATCAGAAACGTTTCACAGCAGAATAACAATGTAAATATGCTAGTCAAGTATTTGTGTGATGAAAATCATTATTACGTTTATGATTTAAATAGATTGAAATCATCTCCATCATTATCAATGTTGGCTAGTCAGTAACTTCACTTCATATTATTCGTTAATATGGTTTTCAGATGGAACATTGATCTCGGCTTTCACTACGAGGCATCTAAACCCCTCCTTAAAATCTTGGGATGGTTTGTAAATATTATGGTTTATTATCTGTGGCAAGCATATTTTTAGTGAGCTTCCTCATAATGAGTGGGGCTTGAGAATCCTACTCCTAATCACCATCTGATAAACAGGCTTTGAATTGTCAGTAAACATATATGGATTGAGTTAGCATTTGGAGTGCTGCATACAAGACAGTTATCGTCATTGCCAATTTAGTTGCACTCCAAAGTCATCTGCAAATATTTATAGATTCCCAACGTATTTGGTTGGAGCCTACTCCAGTTGGACGTTAGTGGTGTTACCTCTAAAATTATGTCGAAGAAACATTTCGTGGTTAATACGTAATCCGGATTACCCTTTCGTCTCATGCAGGTGCTGCGGCTACTTTAACGATCGTATAGAACGAAAATAGCTATATTACATAAATTTATCAGTAAGAATAGCTACAAAAACCATGGGATCACTGCTTCGTGGGCCAGGACATGGAGTAAAACGGATTGGTACGCGATGGTAATCCTTGGTATTGATAATGATTTGTAAACTGTTTGATATCCAGTGAGGTGTCTTCTGGAGGATTTCTCATTTCACCGACCCTACTTATTTCGTGAACACGCAACTAATGCTTACTTCAACTTGCTGGAGTAATAAAGAAAACAAAGTCGTAATAAAGTTCGACATAAAGATTTCAGTAAACGTTATTATCACACATCCCCAGCTCACCCATGAAACGAATGAAAAATCTTTAAAACTTCTTGTCACTGTACATATATTGAGCATTAAACAGCAGATGAATAACCTTTCCCTAAATAATCCTTTTTTAAAGACACAGATGGGTTCAACGAGAAAAATCACTAAGCTTCAGTTTATATATACTTCAAAAATGTTATTCACCAGTTATTTTTTTCGTTTCACTACATCTCACTAAAGTTGTTTCCTTGCGCGAGCTTTTGAGATGTCACTATAGTAACGTATAAGTTTTGCTTTTTCTAAGCTAGACTAAGTTGTAATGCATATGACATATGACATCCAAAAATTACCTGTTTTCGAAAGATAGATTCATAAAATAAATTGCGTTTACATATATTTGGAATCAAATTTCGTACATAGTGACCGAATATTTACACATTAGAGTACAAGAGTATTTGATGTGGTCTTTCAATAGCTTAGAACATCTTATATACCTTTCGGGAGCCCCTTTAAATACCTACTTGAACTTAGTCGTAATACAAACCTTAGGGGTAACAACCGGAAACTGGAGACACAATACGAAAGAACGACTATAGGCATACCTTCTCCTTATGGACAGTTAAATAATGGAGTTCGCTGCAAGATGATCTAGTCCAAGTGACTTTACAGAAGTCCTTTAGGAGAAAACTTGACATACCTTTTTAGGACTGGTGACGACATCTTGCTATAATCTACTAATTTTGTTCTAACTGTTGTTAAACATACCTAGGTCCTTACCTGGAGGTATCGGTGATCCTTTGCTACGTTAGCAAAAGCTTCTTTTATTCTCCCCATAACCACTTAAATGAGCTTGTTGTAAAAACTATAACTAACAGCTAAAATTACAGTGTCACTTCAAACATAAAAGTTATTAAAAGTAAGCTTTTAATGCAATATGTTTATGTTGTGGTTCACTACTCCGGAAAAAAACGTTAATTTCAGGTGTTTCGCATCAAAACAAAGACTAAAAACCATTTTATTAAGAGGCTGTTTATTTTTTAGCGAAGTGTTTGACCAAATAGAGGCTTTTTGTTTCGTAGGGTTCATTTAAATCTAATGATAGGGCGTGATTATTATAACAAAGGGTTAGAAAAATCAAACGATATGATCAAAAATCACTTACAGTGGCTCAGATGCATCAATTTTGTCTTCCCTCGAATTCTTAGCTTCTGGATTCCTTATACCGTTTTTTTGGTTTTAATTAATTAATTTGTATTTTTTCTAATTGTATGTTTGATTCCTAATCTTCCCCATTACCATTGATACTTTTACTATATCCACTATTCTGGGATTCGGCCTGAGAGTTTCTCTCTGTGCTACTAGAGTATGGTAGTCTGAACCGGTTAGCTTACACAAAAGGGTCTAAGTTGTGACTGACGTCATCCAGTACTAAATGAAATTATAATGAGGTTGTATAGTGAGCGGAATAAACTGAAAAATTTTTAATGTAACCATTTTCCTGATTTTGTAACCTGAAATCGTAGATAACAAATATTTTACCATACCTGCTCCAACCTATGTAGGTTAGTTAGTTAGTGTTAATCCTTTTTGTATGTTATTCTGTCGACGTCCGGTTTCCGATTAAAAGTGTTCAGCGATGATGCCGATGCTACCTGTTTGATTGCTGACTATAAGATGCAAAACGTATTCTACCCTTGGTTTATTTTTATCTCAATTTTTCAATCTTTTTTTATTAACATCGAAGAGTTTTGGTCCTGGATGAGACAGTTTAATAATACACCTAAGCTCCATAATTATCATCTAAAGTACGTTGTGCCAATATACGATGACCTCATTTTCTATATTAAGATATAAACGGTAGACTCATGCCTTCTAAACTCCCTTAATATAAGAGGTTGACAAGGTCTGCCGCTAATCTAGTACCATCAAGTTGAACATGCATAACTGTGTCATCTTTGATAAGACATAGACTATCTTCTTATGTGAAGTACCCTTGATTATGTGCAATATTCGTGGGTAATAAATCCGAAAATGATCATCCTTAAAGTATTTAAAGTCTTTGTGAGGTGACCATAATATGCGAGACCTTTTATAAGCCAGCCCATTGTAATTTTCAATTCTTCTAATGCGGTTACTCATAGGTCTTCATGTTCCTGACCTTGTGGAGACGGTGTTCGGCTGATGGTTTGCCAGTGACTAGTATGGCGACTGATGTGTAACAGGCCACTCATCCCGGAACCAGACTCTAGGCTTAAACTTTAGAAGCGGTGAAACTAGCCGCTATTTTTCAAACGTTACGGCTATTTGAATATAAAAGCGCCGACGATTAGTACAGTATACAAAAAGTAGGTGATTGAACATTATACCTTGATAGCCGCAAAAACTTTTGGGATCAAACAATGAATTACTTTATGTATATTTTATTAGCTGGTGAGAGTTACCATTTAAAGTTCTCAGGCAGACTGCAGAAGTTTGTAATTGTTTTAGTATAGTAAAACTAGTTTCTTAGTCAACTGCGACACGTGTGATGACAACCGACACCACTCTGGTTTCCTCTTTAAACAGTCATTCTTGCACTGGTTCTTCTCGCCGTGCACTTTCTTCTTTTCTGCAGTCTGTACCACGTTCTCCGTCAAAATGTCTGACCTGCGGCGTGCTGATCTTCATGGCTCCGTTGACTTACCGAGCTATCTGCATCCAATATTCACTTGGCATCCACGACGTTTAAAGTCTTTTCAGGCATGTGTATTTTTACTTTCATTACGTAATGAGGAGTCATAGAAGAAGAGTTATACTAATAATAATTTGATTAATTGCATGCAAACTATTCTCCTTTAAGAGGTTCTGGCTTAAGGGAACATTGTTTAAAAATTAAGAATTAAAACTTTCAATATTATCCACCAGTGATTACATTTAAAAAAACTTTTTGTTAGTATTTTTTAGTATTTTCAAAGCGCATCTGAATAACTTCGGTTTCATAAACCTTAGAGAGTAATACAAGCAATTTTTTTCCTCTTAACATGAGGTGTGATTTACCGGTTTCCAAAGCTTTCTAAGCTTTAAACTATTAAATGTTGGGGATATCACTCCTTCCTGCACGTGTACAATAGCTTTTTACTATCTTGACTACTAATCTAAATCAAAGTTTTTCGCGCCATACTTATATATACGGGGTTGCAAGTAGCTTTTGTTTTCTTTGGCGAATAACGTTTCTGTTTTATGAATCCAAAAAGATGAAGGCTGAATAAATGAACACTTTCTGAACTGAAGTACTTGTAATATCAGTTTTTAGAACTAGTATTGAGTAAAGTAATAAATTATCCATCAAACTAAACACTTCAAGTGTATGAGTAATTCATAAATGAGTTATTTATCCTCGGTTTCACCGTCAAAACTATTTTATAACCATGGGATATATTCTGACCACTAAATTGTTTAATTGAGTTACATAATACATAAGATCTTTAATTACTTAAAAGAGTCATTTTTATCACAAACAAACGGTGGTTTTCTTATCTTGATAGAATAAATGGTTTAACGCTTCACACCCTTGCTAGAATTACAGGGAGTAAATTACTGGTTTTTTAAAAATACTAATAAGACGTAGAATATTTTATTTATTTACATCAATCTTCACGTAAAACTCATTATTAAATATAATTAGGTAGATTACCTATCAAAATAACATTCAGTCTTGCAACCATTTATTCTATGTCTTAAAACGTCAAAACTAGTTTATATTGTGTTAACTACTGACGTATATAAGAAAACAGAAAAAATAGAATGATAGTAAATAAAAAGTGTTATGAAGTTAAAAACTGGAGTATTGGAGGTGAAGTTAATTAATCCAAATGTTATATCATGATATTTAACTAATACGTTCAAAAGTTTTAAAACTAAGAGATTTAAGTAAGCTGGTGTTCACTAGCACAACAATTACAAAGCTGATGTTGTTGTAGTGAGCGGAAATTCAGGTTGGGAGGACCAATGTATATAATTTAATACAAAATAACGGAATATCTTCATAAAATATGAAAACCATACATTAAATATTTAATTTTCAAATCTTCCATTGGTTGTCTCTCACAAACCGCATCTTTCGTCCATGCTTGTCATTATTGCAATTACTCTGCTTACATTTCTGTTCTCTTCAATTCGATGTTTTGAAGATTTTGCTGCCGAGGATCCCACTTCTGATTCATGCTACAAATTACTTATGTCTATCAACATAAGTAGCATACACCACACTACCAACTCATTATTACTGGATTTAATTTACACATCTTATTGATAAATATAAACATCCCGAAGGCTTCAGTGTCGATATTGTCTCTGGCAAAAACATAAAACAATTATGATCAAACACTTTCCAACATCCATATTCAGGACATAAGCTGTTTGAAAAATGGAATAAACTTGGTTCTCTTTATATATCAGATTGCCAAAATAATTTCAAACGACTTAATCTCTACAAGACACTAGATATTTTATTTCAGTCCTAGAAGACCATAACTGACAAACCGGATATATATATATATATATATATATATATATATATATATATATATATATGAAAGTTAGTCTTATCATATAGATATATTTGCCTTTCTTCTTTTATTACTTCTTGGCTAGCATATCATTTTCTATGTTTGATTTCCTGTGATTATTACTACTTTTTCATCTAAGTTTCTTATTTTAAGCTGACTTATCAAATAACTTAGATCCTGTATGGTCAGTAAATTAAAAAAATGATTCAGCTATGAATATTTACAACTCCCTGCATATAGTTTCGAATGTTGTTCAAATTATATAAACAAGTATAGTAACAGTAAAACTAACCTGAAAGTAATCAAATCGAAATCAACGTTGATTCATTTTTCTACACATTAAAAATAACTGTAATCTTCAATTAGTTATACTATTTATTTGCTCCACGAAGTATTCTTAAAAGAAGGCTTATTTTAAGGGAGACAAAATGAAAGTGTAATGTTAGAATGTATATGAAGCAACATAACGACTAATTAAGTATATTTTTTAAGAACAAGAAAGTTAGTGGTTAAATTGTTATGCATTAGTTGTCACAGAAATAAATAAATTATTTTCAATATCAAGTTATCATTTCGACAACACCATCACAACGTTTCCAGTTCTAAATCACTTAAAAATTTACATTTTAAAATATTTTATCGTTGTCTAGCGAGTATCTCATTTGTTTGTTTCAAATGTGATAAGTTTTGCTAAAATTTCTTAAATTCTTTGGTTTAATCAGGTTGAATATAACTAAAAAGAATGTTAAAAAATATAATGAAAGTTCGATTTACCATCGAGCTAAAAATTCTTTCTTTGTTTTACATTTGTGGTGGAAATCGAGAACATTAATATCATAGAAGTACATAAGGAAATAGATAGCACTTTAAATCGTGATAAACTAATGTCAACTATCAAGAAGAATTGCAAGATGGCTGTTATCCAGACATTTTTGACAAATTATTCAATGAACCCCTGATAGTATAGAGATCTTTCAATGAAATTATATAATCATATACTACCAGATTTAACTGTAAATAGTATTACTATCAGAGTCAAATATTTCTGCATATTCAGACAAGAAATCTGAAAGTGTATTTAGTTATCACTATAGCATTCGTTGAATTTAGGTAAGTATTAAAAGATAGCCTTATAACAAAGATAAAAAACTCTCTGACATCTTATCACTTTGATTTTTAGTTATTTATATTTTTCCTATTTTTTACAGAATGGCATATCAACTGGTTTATGTTGTTTTTCCTAAAACTTGTGAGATGATAGCAATCGATGGTTAGAGACCTTGAATGACATAGCTCAAAATCATTTGTAATGGCGAAGACACATCCACTCTTTGTGTTCTCCTAAATTCTAATCTTCTGAATTCTTCATGTCTCTATATTTTTCTCTTTCCAAATTTATTTCACTGGATAATACTCCTTCAATAACATCTTCAAACCTTAATCTTTCAGATTAGTGCTTATACTCTTACTGTTTCTACAACTATGGGATTTTAATTGACAACTACATCTCTCTGGTAATGAGGTATGATAACTCGAACTGATGTACGTATGTACGAAGTTCTACGTTGTGACCGACTAACTGACTAACTTCCCAAAACTTCAAATTCTTATCATACTATCTACTAACAGTATTAATTTATACATTGTTATTCTTATATTTTAATTATATAACACTAATACTTGTTTTTTTGTAGGATATAATGCAAAAGAAAGTTAATATTTTACAAACACCTAATGAACAATTAACACAAAATGAAAATATAATAAATGAATCTATATTAAATTGTTATAATGTAATTCAAAAATAACAAAAAAAAAACTATTTTTGGGTAATTAAATTTATTTTAGAAAAATGATTCTATATTTCAAATGTTATGTAAATGTATTGCATTTAGTAGAATGATCTATGAAATGAATGATTGGCATCATGCTCAATATCAATGTTGTTTAAGTTATTTTTATATTCATTGGAAAGGTGAAAGTAAGTGATTTTCTTTATCATTTTTATTGAAATTCTAGAAAATTAATATTAAGTTATTAGAAGATATAAAATTTGCCTGTAGCTCCTCCGGGAGATACTGCCAGTTCCAAGCCAGGATAAAAGAAGAGTGTTGGGCATGGGGTTAGCGATCCCATCCCGTAGAAAACTAACTCGCTAAAAAAACGTTAATCAAAGTATTAGAAGATATTAAATAAAAAGTTTCGAATGAAAGTCATTCTCTTTAGTTACAATACTCATGAATACAATGTTTTAGATAATAACAATCATAGGACAAAAGGAAGTCAAGTGGTTTCAAATCTCAACCACTTTAGTTATTCGTAGGATTATCCGCTAATCTTGACATCATCATGCCTTACTTTCTACTGAAGCTGATTTAAAGAGCATAACACACCAATCCGCAAAATTGTACTCATCGATTGTTGTCCATGTACTCTGATATTTTCTGATCACGAGTCTAGTCACCTGTAGTCACAAAATAATATAATAGAGTGCAAAAAATGACATACAATTCTAAAATCTGAAGTTGACTGGTTTGTGATGTTGTGGTCTTGGAACTAATGAGTTAAATGAGTCATAGGTAGCATGACTTTAAGATTGGTTGTCTCACTAAATGATTTGAGATGTAAAGACAAGAAGATAGGAAACTCGTTTGTATTCGCATCAGTTCATCGAAACAAGTCAAAAGGTATTATCCGTTGCTACCAGGGATTCTAGTCAATGTCATTTTTATACCTGAGGTCTTTAGGATATTAAAAACGATATATGGTTTTGTATTTCATGCCCACTTGCTTGTTCAATTTTGTCACTGTTCAAACATTGTCTATTTAACTGTTACTTTTCTATAGATGGTTAAAACAAGTTAGAACGGTTTAATGTTTCAATGTATTTACCTTCTGTTGGCATTTTTAATTATCATCATACTAATAATTATTTTATTCTATTTAGAATACGCATTACAAGCTGAAAGCCATGCAGAAAACTCCATGAAATTAACATCATATTATTTAAATGCTACTAGTTGGCAAATGAATCAACAGAATGCTGATGATCCTGCTAATTTACTTATTCTTTGTATAGTTTTACTGAATTATTATACATTAGCAAAATCAAAAATAATTTTAAAAAAGTAAGTGATCAACTTATTGATATAATTGAGGATCTTTTGAGTCAACAATGTTTGGAAAACGACAGTAACTTACGAATAATCTTGATGTAGGATCCCTTGTATTATGAACTAGTAGAAGCTGAGAATGTTAATCGTCTTATTTTGACCACCAGAAAGTCTGCGAATCCTCTATTTAATTCTATACAGAGTTGCAGTTGGGTGGAGGCTAATTAGGAATCCAATATTGTTAATCAAACGGTGTTTAGTACTGTACATAAACGACGGTATTTATTATCTAATATCAGTTTGTAGCGAAAATTACCCTTAAAAAACCTTATAAGTGGATTATATTTTGAACAATAATCCGAAACATTTATTATCATCTTCCACAACTTCAAATGTTGGACAATAATTGTAAAGCTCATTGCTTTCTTAAATCAGATAAGTAGTTAATTCAAATCTACGACTAAGAAATGGAATGCTGAGTTATTAGAACACTGTTTTACGTGAAATCAATGCTAAAATTTAAAGTAAATAAAATTATTAAATGTACTCTATTTGAGGGAAAATTATGTAGTCAAGTAATATGTTTATATTTCAACCACTGTACTGATAAAGTGAAGTTCATGCAATTAATATCTCATCGACTATTTTGTTTGAAATTCTTCCTCAATAGACTAAACTAAATTAGCATAATCATATTGCTTGGCATTTCCAACTATGTTAGATATCCGAAGGTACTAAGCAGAAACCAATTAATATAAGTGTTATACTGAAATGAACTTATATTCATTTACATATTGGAACTCCATGTATGGTATTGAAAACCTTACCACCGAACTATTTATAGTGGTCTGTAATTTTGAGTCAGTTAATCAATCGTTCACTTCGCAACCTGAATAAACAGAAGCTGATCAAAATCAAGGATAAATCACTGGATACTGCTAATTAGTCATCGTGTCCTTAATTGTATCTTTGCTAAATAATTACATTATTAAACAGTTAGATTAGTTTCATATGTTCTATTGAAACCATGAATCGATCAATGTTAGACGACCATTGACAAACTGTATGTACTGAACGGCTGTTTCGTCCTAGTATAGGATTCCTCAGCAATGCATTTCCATGAATGTGTATGCGAGAATCGAATGCAGGACCTCCTGTCTCGCATGTGAACGCATGACCTTTATACCGCTGTGCCAGCATCCAAAGGTGTTAATGTCTAGTGATTCCAAGTTTTCAGTGGTAGTCTAACATTGATCAGTTCATGATTTTAATGAAAGTCAACAAATTTCACAACTCTACACTGACCATATATTGTAGTAAAATTTCTTTACTCACCGAAGAATTTATTATAAACATTTCTTAAGTATACAATAATGTTAAACTGAACAGTCTGTTTATACATCTTAAGGTCATAAGCTCGATACTATGTCAGCCTTTATATTGTCATATAAAAGTGTTCAAACGCGTATACTAAAATTTATTGAAGATTCGGGTATACGTAAAGTAAAAACTCCCTTTGTATGTTTAAACACAGTTTGTTCTAACCCCATAATAATAATAATAGTAATACTGATTCATTATTGAACTTAGTTTCCACATAATGTACTATATTACTATCTTTGTTTTCTCTTACTTTCCAGTTTGTTTAGTTTACCTTTTATTTTTCATATATAATATCTTAATAAGTATCATGTCATCAAATTGTTCGAAATATAATCCACAAATGTATCACATATTTGTTATAACTTTAGTCTTCTCCATTGTTTATCTTAATATATTTTCATATATTTTATCAGGAGAAAAGATGCATTCAGTTCAATTAAACAGGCTGAAAAAGCATTAAATAAAGTTGAACAACTGGTTGATTCAATTCAGAAATATAAAACTACTTTAGAAAATATTGATAATTATAAAGACAATTCCAAACCATTTGAAAATTATTATCAACAATGGAATCATTGTACTTTAATGAGATTAGATAAAAACTTTTATCCAAATTTGCAAAATTTAAAAATTTATATTAATTGTTTGTATGGAAAGTAAGTATTTTACTATTCGTAAACTATCTCTATGAATTACATATATATATATATATATATATATATATATATATATATTAGATGCATCATTATAATATTGTAGTCAGTTGACCCATGAGGGAACTCAAACAATTAATATTTGTTCTAGAACTATCGGATTTATTTATTTAAGTTATATATGGAATGCGGAAAGTCCTGGGTTCGATTCCTTTCGCAAGGGGTCGTAGATGCGCACTACTGAGGAGTCCCGTATTAGGAGAAAATAGCCTTTCAGTGCTTTCAGATTTTTAGTGATAGCTAAACTATGATCGATTCATGTTTTCAATGAAAGTCAACAATCTCTACAATCCTATATTAATATTTAACACAACCACTATATTAAGACAGTGTTAGCTCTTCTGTTTATGTCAGTTATCTATGCATTTCTATTTTAAATATGGTAAATACATTTGACAGAAATAAGATGTATGACTAAAGTTAGCTGTTTTGTTACAGAGTACCGACTTTAAAAAAAATTACATATATACTATCTTCATTTACAATATTTATTCAAAATAAATGGGCTAAAAATTTATATCCTCCTAAATGTGTTCGTATACATAAGGAAAAAGGATGACAGTTGTGACAGATAAATTTAATTCAAGTGCTTTTCATTGTGAACTGTTTTTTTAATGTTTATGAATATTAAATGTACTTTATTTAGAATTGCATTTGAATGTGAGAAATATGTTGTATCTTTTGATCAATACATGCAAGCATTAAAATTCATAGAGAAGATATATGGTCCAGAGAGTAAAGAAATGATATCAATTTATCATGCACTTGGCCATGTAAGTGTTATTTTTTATATTAACATTTCACTTGTCTTGATAAAAAGTCAGTATATTTAGGGATGTTATGTTGATAGTTGAGTTGTATAGGTTTTGTTCTCTTACCAGACTTTTATTAAAGTTAGTCACGTTATCTCACGTTAAGAAATTGATGAGGATTTGTGCTTAGATCTTTCAGCTTAGGAAACGTAACACCATAATCTTGATTTTAAGTTAAATCTCTTCTTTGTCATCGAAAAAGTAAGTGGTTCATGAATTGGTTTTAATACTCTTTACAAAGAAGTAGTTTTACAATATATTAGCAAATGAATACTTATGTAGCATAGAAATATTATGCTATCTCACTTTATCTACTGAGAATGCAAGTTTTGAGAATGGAAGGTTAAAAACATAGAAAAGGTATTGAAATAATGCTACAACGATCTTCAATATACATTGCAGTGCATTGATTAAAAGTGGATTGATGGTTCTTGTTTGTTAGCATCTTCTGTATAAGCCGTTGATTATTTCAGTTGCTTCACTGTAACACTAAACAGCTTCTTCAGCTACCAATACTTGTATAGTATCTATGATTTGCTGATCCACCACTTTTTACGATAAATCTTAGTTTCAAAGTCTTACTCAATCAATCACAAGAAAGTAGTATTATAACTTGTAGAATATTGGAAGTTTTTACTTGTTGCTACCAAATCATAGGAGTTGTAAATACAGCCTTTTAATATCTACTGCATTATTCTACAAATTAGTATGGCCATTTGGTTCGAAACAGCTGTACTCAATTCAAGATTTTACTACTCTTACGAAGCGTTTGAATATAAATTGCTGACCTTTTATGACGCATAAACATTATCGATTGAAAATGTAGTTGGCCGGCATTTGCCACTTGAAATTTTGCTAAGGAACCTAAGTAAAGCCATTAATTAGAAATCCAAGAAGTCGGTTTTTGTAAAATCATCAATTTAACCACGATCATCCGTTCTAAAAAGCACTTCACGTATTTCAAAAATACGCAAATGAACCATAAAATTCACTGAAGTTCTATATATTTATGGTACAGCAAACTATACAATTAAACTTGTTGGTAACGGATAACTCTTAAAATGTAAGTATTCCTTCTGTCTATGAAATATCGGGCTAAAATTATGTTTAAATGGAGTGTGTTTATTTAAAACATCTAAAGTCGTACATGTAATTTGTGTGGCTTCATATAAATATCGTTTGTAATTTTGATTACGCAATTCTATTTATCCTAATAACTTGGACTTATGACATATTTACTGAATAGATAATCATACAAACTAGAGTTAGCACCTGCTTCCCTGCGTCCAGCTGACGAGTCCCAAATAGGACGAAACGCGCGTCCTAGATTCCGCTGCTAGCCACTATCCATCTTTGCTTACCATGCTTGTGAATTTAGGCTATATCGAGACAATACGCACAGTATGCACATATGCCAGTAAGAGACTGACCAGTTGCAGTCCTAAACATCAATGGGAAGATTCAAACAAGCAATAGCAAGTGAATATAAATTTCACCCCATTGCACAAGCAAGTGGCTGTCAGGACTCAGTAACTAAGGGGATAACGTGATCGCGTTTGAAGCGAACGGTACTGGGTTCGAGTCCTGGAATAAACATAAACTTTGAGATGCAGGCACATCTGGTTTACGAGTCCCAAATAGGACGAAACATGCGTCAAGGATTCAACTGCTATTCACTATCCATCTGCTCTTATATGGAAAACGGGTTATAAAAAAAGGTATACATGATAATTCAAATCTTGATTAATTATATAGAATTTAATCGTTTTCAAATTGACTTATTTATATCCAATCAATTTCGTTTTTCCCAGATTAAAGAATATCAAAGTAGTGAGGATGATATGAAAAAATCTATAGACTATTTTAAGAAAGCCCATGATATTTCTAATAAAATGTGAGTTTTTTTATTTTCATTTATTAGTTGGGGTGCCTATATTTTTTTTCTCGAAAATAAGGTACTTTTTAAATAAGTATTTCTGGTAAGTTGGCTCAACTTTATAGATATTTATTCTACCCCAATCTTTATATTCTTTTTCATTTCAACACATATATAAGGGGCTTGTTTCATCTTTCCGAATATATTACATATTCGATACACTAGCGGGATAAACTTATAGACTGGAAGATCGTCCTGAGCTCCATTGCTCCTTTGAAATATGGATGGAAACTGTTGTAACATATCTAATATCGGTCATTATCGTTTTGGCTAAAAACCGAGTCATGCAACACTAATACTACCAATACTTGTTAACTTAGATGGTTTATATGTGCGCTATGTTTTGATCTACATTATTCCAAACATATTGTCCAGGCATTATTGTATAGTTGTAGAAAATTCTGCTCAATAGTGTTTAACTAAAAAATACTTAATAACTATGTCGGTATGAAACTTTAAGAAGTAATTTTTAGAAAACTACACTGTCAAACATGGTTGGACATAAAATCTAGGATATATGCTCAGGGAGCTCCTGACTGACAACAAATAACGTTGAGCACAGAGTACTAGGTAAAGATTGTAAGACAGTTTGTAGTTTTTGGCACATTCATTATTCTTAGTTAGGGAAATGGGTTATGCAAGTGTTTAATTAAAAAATTGTAAAACACTGCTTTGAATAAAGTATTACTTTTGACTGTTCATCTCCTTCATTTTGTCTTTCCAATTTTAAAGTTTTATCAATGTTAAATTCTCTATCACTACTAAGATTATTTTCTTCTTTTTCTTATTCATTCTGTTCATTTCTTTTGAGATTTCTACATTCATATGGTTATCAGAAAGTGTTTTGTGGAGATATCAATATTTTTCATAGTTGAAATCATGAGTCAATTGAAGCTAGACAACCAAGGAAAACCTGGCAGCACTGGACGGCCGTTTCGTCCTATTGTGGGACTCCTCAGATTCAAATGATTCATGCTTTCAACATTCATATGGATTGTGATAAATTAAAAATTGATTTTTGACCATGGATTTTCTTAAACCTTTAACTATAACTACACTTAGCAAAGCACTCTACACAGCTCGATAAAACATATTTTCAGACAATGGAAAAGTTACAAGAATAGGGATATAATATTTATAAAGTTAAATTCTTATTCAGACTCATTTATTACTCATTCGTTTCAAAAGTATTTTTATAACTTAGTCAATAATTTCTTTATGATTATGATATATGGTTTTATTATTCTGAAAATTACATAGTTACCATGATGAAGAGAGTTTCAGTTCCATGGTTGAACTTATTCGTTCAGTTTATCTATTGTGTACAGTTAGCATGAAACTCAATTTAAATTTGGATGATAGTAAGTAACATGCAGTACAGAATAATGTTATATAATCTAATTATTTTATTTGTATATAACTAACGTATGTTTGTATTAGAAAATATATGACATAAAATATTCTCATAGTTGAAAGCGTGAGTCAATTGAGGCTAGACCACTAAGAAAAACCAGGAAGCACTGGACGGCCGTTTCGTCCTACTGTGGAACTGACTCCTCAGCAGTGCGCAGTTACGACCTCCCCTCGCCAGATTCCAACACAGGACCTATCAGTCTCGCGCCAGATCACTTAACCGATAGACCACTGAACCGACATCCAACGGTTTTAATGTCTATCTGGCTGCTCGCGCGCGAGACTGATAGGTCCTGTGTTCGAATCTCGCGAGGCGGGACCGTGGATGCGCACTACTGAGGAGTCCCACAATAGGAAGAAACGGCCGTCCAGTGCTTCCAGGTTTTTCATGGTAGTCTAGCTTCAATGGACTCGTGATCTCAACTATATAAAATCACTAAAATCTGCATAAAACCCCCCCTTCTGATATTATGGATTCGTTTGCAAAAAATATCAACTGGAAAAGCTTATTAAGCAAAATGAATTCTGGTGACTTGTGGATAGAACATGTCATTTTCATCGAATGAATAGATTATCTACCTTATATTCTTTAATTATTTTCTTTGCATTATAAAATTAGAAATAAATTTTTGATTAAAACACCACTTTTATAGGTATTTTTATTGTTAAATCGTGTGCGTGTGTGTGTGCGTGCCCAGTTGTTATATTGATTGAGTGCGCTCTTGCCGTTTGATATACGACGTGATAACCCCCACCAATTAGAGAGGAGTGAATTATCTTTCGGACCAGTGATACACAAAACCCGTATGAGCAGTCTTGAGCACTTATCAGTCCTGTTATCTGCCTTGCCCAGCCAGTTAAGTCCAGAACATCAATAACAGCCTCTGCAATATGAATCATTTTTCCCAAACGTACTGGGTTTATATACCAAACAAACTGACCACATTGTACCATAAAATAAAAAATAATATTTGTACAAGATTTGGCAAAATGTGGCTGTGAATAGGGGGAACAGTGATTAATGGACTAGGGATAACTCAGGAATGGTAAATCGTATAATAATAGTCTATAGGTCAAAATAAAGCTTATGATAAGAGAAACACGAATATGAATAGTTTAGTTACTTAACAATTATACAATAGAAAATATACATGTCATATTAGTCCATAAATAGTTCTCAAAGTTACCATTCATAAATCTCCACGGGGTATAACATTTATACAGTATATATCGGCCAAAACTATTTTCTAAAGTTTGAATAGATACACATGTTAGATAGTTCTTGAGGATAATATTCTGATTTATAGTATGTTTTTTCTATATTCACATCATATCATCTTTATCATGAATAGCTGAACATCTCCTTGGTGAAATGTTACAAATAATAAATACTTATAATGAAAAGAATGATCAAAACTCAATTGAATATCATATTGATAATAATTCAGATGTATCAAATGATCTAATGAGAATAAAAACTGATTCGTTAGATAACGATAATGATCATATCGAATGTTCAACAGATCAATGTTTCAATTCAGGTCATGAATATTCTAATGAATATTTTGTCAATTTAATTTGTTCATTACGTTCATTATTAATAAAAATTTATATCAAATCAAATCGTTATCAAGTAAGTAAATTCAATTTCATATCATAATAAAGTATCATTTTCAACGTTGAAATATACATATTACGTTGAATTTATATTTTAAAGTTTATATATTTGCAATCCTTGATTATATTCAAGATGAACTTAATGTGGTTAAAAGTAATTTCGGAGAAGCTTTTGAAGATGTGAAAACCTTTACATATCTGGTCAGCATCATCGATGAACACGGTGGATCTAATGCAGATGTGAAGGCGCAGATCGGCAAAGCAAGAGTAGCATATTTACAACTGAAGGACACCTAAAACTCAAAACAATTATCAACCAACACCAAGATCAAAATTTTCAATACAAATGTCAAAACAGTTCTACCGTATGGGGCGGAAACCTGGAGAACTACAAAAACCATCATCCAGAAGCTACAAGTGTTGATCAACAGTTGTCTACGCAAAATACTTCGGATCCGTTGGCCAGACACTATCAGCAACAACCTACTATAGGAGAGAACAAACCAGATTCGAGTGAAGGAAGAAATCAGGAAGAAGCACTGGAAATGGATAAGACACACATGGAGGAAACCACCCAGCTGCATCACAAGACAAGCCCTCAAATGGAACCCTGAAGGCCAAAATAAAAGAGGAAGACTAAAGAACACGTAACAGCGAGAAATGGAAACAGATATGAGAAGAATGAACAAAAGTTGAATAGAATTAGAAAGGAAGGCTCAGGACAGAGTGGGTTAGAGAATGTTGGTCGGCGACCTATTCTCCATTGGGAATAACAGTAAGTAAAAGAAATTTCACCACAGATTATTAATTGTTTATTTTTATTTTTCAAATTCATGAACATTGATGAATATTTCTTCGAAAGAAATTAGTAATTTGTTGACTTTAAAGATAAGTTTTCCCAATTGTTTGTCACAATGTAACTTTCCAACCAATAAACAATGTGAGGAAGTGAAATCTCAGTTAGTATGTTTGAATGTAATATTCATTCATTTTATTTTGAAACTGCTACATTTGTTTACTGTAAAGATTAATTATTGGTAAGACAAGGTAAAATCAAAAGTCACATGTTATCTTTTTCAGATAAAATCTGATTAGAGTATTTGGTAATTGGAGGATAATCCGATTTATAATCTCATTTAATGAATCAATCACTAAGACAGTATTGTATGAAATACTATTTAAAAATCATTCATCACTATCTGTATTCTGTTGGTTTTGATCACTTAGAATGATTTTGGAGAATAAATACATTCCAGAATATTACTCAATTTATAACATTGACTTTTTCGGTTAAATCAAAGAAATACACTTTGCTATGGTAACTTTGTCTTTCTAAACTAATTGGTTCAATTGCGAAGCTTCTGTCATGACTCTAGACAACCTTCTCAATGGCTTACCTCACGTAAAAGTGATCTATTTAATTGATTTATAATTGCTAAGTTATCTGATTTTAATGACTTCGTCTGTGGATGGTTGAATTCAGAATTTTCGCCATCTCTATTTTTAATCTTACCTTATCTTCGACAATACTTCAGATGTTCCGTTGATCTATTCGACTGCTAATCCAGATGGAGTAGTTATAAACAAAATATCCACGTGGCTACGTATATAATTAGAAATGTGTAGAACAATTTGAGGCTTTCTAAACTGTATCTGAACTAACTCATACAAAATCGAAAGATTATGAAATTTAATTGGAAGAGAAGGATTAATCCTTCTCTTCCAATTAATGTTAGTTTATAATCGATGTCATTATATAATCATTACGTAACGTATCTACTCCATGAGTGTTATTTAGTTATTGTAAATCATATATATTAGTGTAGAGCCATGCTGAAAAACTAATTGAAAAGAGATTATGAAATTCTTTCAAGATTTTTCTGGGGGAAACTGAAAACCGTACATACACATCATGTGTAACGTTTACTATTGATTCTGTAATAATAGGGGGTTAAATGTTTGTGATATTATGTACTTTTGTTGACATTATGTTATATGAGCCAGATAATTTAATTGTGAATCTGTAATGGTTTGTTTATACAACATAGTATCAGAGTCTAGTTTAACAATCTGTGTTTTTACACGCCTACGTAATTTATTTTATTCTTGGTACATGTGACCTTGAAAGTGTATGCATGATAGTACCTTTTTCACAGTGAGTCACCTGTTATTTATTGAGTCGTTCCGTTTCGTCCGCTTCTACTCATGTCTCTAGTCATCTATCTGTTAACAAACGCATGAAATATGTGTATCTAATACATTCGTTTCTCAACTTTTGACGTAATCTTGGTTTTAAATTGTTGAGTCACCAGAATATATGGTAAGACAAGTAGGGTATATACATAACCTTAACATCATTATCGTCCTATTATAGTTGAGTCAAGTGGACAATAAATTGCTATATGAATTAAGCACTTATGTCGTTCAGATCGGCTATGGGATTTTTATGTTAAAACTATTTAACTCAGAGAACACAACATCAACAGAATATTCATCTGAACTACATATCTTCTCAATCATTTTATATTAAGAGCATTTTTATATAGAAATTCTAATCTTCAGGTGAGGAGTAATTGTGGTAAATAAGAAAGATTAATTGATAAATTGAAATCTAATAATTTAGCTAAATGAATATTAATTTCATTGTTGTATCATATTAATGACCAAAGTATATTTAAATAAGATATATGTTGTTATGGTATATTGTCTTATTCATTCATGTATATGATTTTGTTTTGAATGAGAATATTCAGAATGAATACATACAAAATATAGATTTTAATTCATACTTACTTACGCCTGTTACCCCTCGTTGAGGAGTATAGGACACCCACCATTATTCTCCATTCAACCATGTCCTGGGCTATCCTTTCCATTTCATAAGTAATAACTTTAAATCTGTAATGTTTGTTCGCCATCATATAACAACCTCGTATAATTTTCCAGTATTTTATTATTTTACTTTAAACAATAATTTCTGTACTTTCATGTAAATTACTTTATAGATTTTTGGATGATATTTTTTGTGTATCCATTATTTAAAACACTTTTTTTATTTAAACACTTAAATATTGGTACAAAGGGGCACCAGATATATATGCGCCACACAAATCTCATTTGATTTGTGTGTGGGCTTTGATACTGTGCTCAGACTGAAGCAGGTGGTTTCCTTAGGGGCCCACACCCGGAGCCTTTGACCTGAATGTTTGATCCACAAGGCAGTGGAGCATTGTGAGGAGATGCAGTCCCATGGTAGCCGGTGATCAACGATTGATTCATACGCCATTTGTTCCCTCAAGATACTGGAGCCCATGTGCACCATTGGTTTGGAATGAGGGTTTTACAACTCCCCTAGGTGGACTCGCCATGTCCACCAACCCGTGTCCACCGTTACGGTTAAAGCGCCGAACATCCGCTTTTCGTCCTCTCAGTTTAGTAAACAACACCCCCGCTACGAGAAGGCAGTGAGTAGGACTTCCCTGGCTGAGGCTATATACGTATGGCCATGTGAGAGGATTTCGAGTGGGAGAGCGAACTCTCCCCACTCTCGGCCATACGAAAGCATTTGGAGGCTTAAAACACATACTTCATCCTGTCAGAAATAAAAGTGAATGTAAGCATAAACAATTAATTGGTAATTCTGACTTGACCTTGTTAAAAAGGCATAAGTACTAAACTTTTTCTTTATAATCTAGATGAACTGTTTAAGTTAAGCGAATTTTTATTTTGGCATTCATATAATTATTACTACTATTATATGACTACTACTTTTATTAATATAAAAAGAAATTCAATTTTACTTTTGGAATTAATATTTAAGCTATGTAATTTTAGGAAGCTTTAAAATTATTAGAAGAAAATTTAAATATTCAAGAAGATACATTTGGAATGTACAATACACGAGTAATAAAGACATATAAATTAATCTTATCAATTAATATGGTTCAAGAAAATTTTGCTGAAGCAGTTAAACAAGCCGAAATGGTATGTATAAAATACTTCAGTTTTATCTGAAGATTCATTATTTTATTCTTGATGGAAATAATAGTTTGTCTGGAAAATGCACTAATTATTCCATATTTTTTGACTAGAAAAGTTAAACCATGGAACGTTCAATGTCTTCCAAAAAAAGGAAACAGCAAGAAAGTCTAAAAGAACTGAGCTATTTGAAATGTTTCATAATCTATCAGCTTAAAAAGCTGACACGTAACTGATAGTATTTAGTGGACATAATACAATTATGAGTCAATTGTCATATTGAATAATGGTCAAAAAGTAACTAGAGAAGATATACTCGCAAAACACAAGCGAAGTGTAGGAAAATACTGACATTAACGTCATTTTTAACGCGATAAAAGCATACTAGTACCAGTTAATTCGTGATCGTTATCGGAATGTTAGACGGAAGACATGATTTTCAGGTACCTACTCATGTTCGTACTCTGCATGTACCCTAGACGAGTGCAGTGCGCACAATGTAAAGATACCATTGTAAAAATATATATTCATTCTCGTGCTTTTTAAAACATTACACGTATATAATGAAAACAACAGATTAAACATCCTGGTGATGGGGATACTACTGCAAAGAGAATAACTGAATTAAGTGGTAAAATTGTAAAACTGTATTGTTAGGAAAGTATGCCAAACCACCATGAAGCTACATGAAATAAAGTAATAACAGATGTCTAAGTGTCTATATTTAGAACGCCAAGATATTCACAAAGTTTATGATTGTTGATCTAATCCACATAAAAAGGAGAAAGCTTTATTCAGGTTCATTGTTTGTTGAAGAGCAATTAAAAGATATTAAAGTAAGTATGAGGTATATTCGCTTGCTATTCATCATCATATGACCCTAAATTCGTTCGTTATTTTATTTTAATAATTTCCTTGCTTCGTTTCAATCATTTTTTTCTCTGTCTTGATAAAACGTGAACAAGCTTTAGTTAACGTTAAATATTAAAAACTTTTAAGTTAATTCAGCTGTTACTACTGAATTAGAAAAAATAGTTTACTTTTCTATAAACCAAACGTTTTATGAAATGAAATATTAGGATCTTTTGTCCATCAGAAATTCATTTCTTATCTATTTAACTTTCAATAAATACCATAAATATAGTGCCTTGACCTTGAACAATTCACATTCGGTGCTAATTCGAAACAAGCAAAGAAAACTCAAGATATTTTGAAAGCTTTATCAAGGTTAGCCAGAATTAAATTTTATGAAATAAGTCATTTTCATTTCATAATATTGTTTTATAGATAAGTGATTATAAGTCATTTATCAAGAAATAAAAGAATTGAATCAATCTCTTTAATGGTTAGAGAGTAATTAAAATACGAAAAAGCTGTTGTGGCCTACGCTCTTCCACGAGGGGTAACAGGCGTAAGTAATTAAGTGTCGAAAAAATAATAGATCTGTTTACTTGATCAATTATAAGAGAATAAAACGTTTGAAAAACAACTTACATAGTAAGGAGGTATATGAAAATCGTGATCAAACTGAGCGATTAAACATACCACAAAGACCATAACTGAAAACTAGACTTATATTTATAAGTTATCTAGACTCAAAATATTTAAGCTTTATCTCGCTATATCTTTAAGGATATAATATGAAGTTCCATTGAATGCATATTATCCTATTTTAAATGAGTTTTATTACATTTTTCTGAATAAGATTATTACTGAACAAAACTTGAGTAAGACATAATGTTTCTAAGCAATAGCCTGAATATATTACTTTAAAATTAACAAAACATATTTATCTCTACAGGTAAGGTTACAAAAACAAACATTTCAATTGGAATTTATTGAATAAGGTCATATTGTAGTGTGGGTTACTTATATTCACATTAGTAGTATATAGTAATGGTCAGACATAGAAAGTATTTCACTGGAAGATTAATAAGGAAAGAATCGGAACGGAACGCAATTGATATGAAAATGCATGAACAATGAAATCAGAGAAGATGGACTGATATTTGCAGAAGGAACAGTCAAGATTGAAACAATTGATTGTTATTTTGCAAAATAAACTGTTTACTGTATGGTTATCAGATTTTAGTGAGATAGTCTGTAATTTTGTGCTCAAATACATTCGATGGTACCCATCGGTGTTCCTGTTCACTACAATAATGTCTACAACACTAGACTACAGTTCATATTTAACAGACGGTCTTGAGATTATATAGGAGTTTTGTTTACCACGAAATTCTTTTTTCAGCATACTATTTACAGTAAGATAATAATTAAAATAATCATCAATCTATGGTTATCTTTCTTGTCTTTTGTCCTCGATCGTTTTGGAAATATAAATAATTTACATCAATATTATTTGCTTATTTTAGTTATAAGAAAACTGGAAATAAAGTCAATTAAGTTCAATGAAATTGATATATTCGAAAATGAGTATTTATTTCTCAATAATCAACATATCTGTTTATCTGTTTCTAATCCTTTTTCGGTCATTATATATATATATATATATATATATATATATATATATATATATATATATATATATATAATAGTTAAAAGAATTCATTACATTCTATTATAGTACTATTATTTAACTTTCAAGCCAGTTTTTTAATCCTTAACAATAATGAGGCTCAAACGTTGAACGACTAGGAAGTCAATAAGAAACTTTAGATTTACATCAAAATTACTGGAGTCATTTTGAAGTAACTGATCTAATCTGACTTTCTTGTTGCAGAATTTCGACATTATTATGGGTTTAAATACACTCAGGCATAATACTCACCTGGAAACAGTTCTTCACATTGTTAATCTCATCCGGTACCTCTAAAATTAGGACACTTGACATAGCTTTCCTTAGTATTTATCAGTTACTGTCTAAATACTAAATAAAAAGCTCGAAGCTACATAGATGAGTATTTAAGCAAAGTAGCGACTATTATTCAGTCGACAAAGAAGTCTAACGCACCGAGAGAAATATGCTACTGCAAACACCATTCTCAGTAATAGGTTTTCTATAGTTTTAACTACCTCCAAACTAGGAGAACAAACTGAGGATGCGCGTTTCCTATGGTTCATTAATATGGAAAAGGTATTTTTGCTACTAATTGTTAGCTTTTGTATTCATTTTAAAGAGATAGCAATCAATAATATCTTTTCTTTCAATTAACAATATTGTTGAACTACAGATGTCAGGGGTGTATAGGGTGGAAGTATGAAAGATTTTCATTAATGATGAGCTGGGTGTGAATATTAAATTTATATTACCGTAACACTATTCTTATTTATGTGAGCCCTCACCTTACTGACGTCTTCAACACTGATTGACAGTTACTTTACTTACTGTGGGAATTTGAAAAAGCGGTTGTTTGCCTTGAGATAAAAGAGATTTTTATCAGATGCAACTCTTTTGTTAACTCAGTTGTCATTCTGTATGCATCTACAAACCTTGTTAGTCACTACCACTGTAACACGACGATTAATGTTTTCAAACGTAAGAGTCTTTACTAATTGAGCCTGCTTTACTCAATTAACATTTAAATAGATTTGTATTCGATATTCAACAAAATATTAACAACTGTTGGACATTAAATTAAACAATGGTTCTAAGTTGTCAAGACCAATTTTTCTGTCGACATTTATTTTTTTAACAAGATTCACAAGACATCATTACACCCTACTTTTCACTTTAGTCGTAAAGTTTCATAACATCAGAAGTTCTGTTAGTAGTATCTTTTTCACAGGAATAGCCTGGCAGCGAATCTTCTGAATGGTGAATTAAGGAGAAAAATACCTGTGAATAGTTTAATACATTCAGTGAAAATATATATATGCGCTTCTCTCAACATTCAAATTACTAAAAGTGGAAGTTGAATTGTGTTATGATCTTCAGAAATGTGAATAGGATTGAAATTATTTGCTTATTTCACATATTATGAGGAAAACCAGCTTAAATCTTTATTCTCGGTTCACTGCTAAACTAATATCAGCTTGAGAACCAGTTGAAACTGCTTGGCACTGAACACATCTTAGTTCTTTTTTTGACTTTTCGTGATTAGGTGAAATTACTGACTTTGTTCTGGGCACCCGGGCAGTATCACAACCCACACACAAATCAATGACAACTACTACTGGCCTTATTGCTATTTTGTGGCGCATATGTATTTGGTTCCCCCTTGTAACAGTATTTATGTGTTCAAATAAATAAATAATAAATAGACTGGCTTACACAGAACTGAACTTAAAACACCTATGTCTTAGGTGCTTTGATGACCTTAGCAAACTGCTCATTTGCGAGACAAAGGTAAAAATTTTGTAGCTTCAGTCAGTATAGCTTGAACAGCGTATATGATCACGGGTGGTTGGTCATTTTGTCTCAAGTTCAAATGGCCTCCGCGCTTATCGCTTTCCATTTCAATTTCAGAGGCTACTTATTAATAAACAGTAAATAAGTTTCGACACGGATTTACCAAAAGAACACAACATCAGTTATAAGTTAATCATAAAAGTTACTATCATCATAAACCTTTTTCACTGATAAAGAAAAATATCTCATATCAACATCAAATCTATTGTTCTGTTACCCTTTAGTTTAACTGATAATTTCGTAATGTCACGCCCTCATTGCATAGAAAAACTGACAAAAACGCTCTACATTCTTCTTTGCATTTTAATTACTGAAAAATGTGAAGAAAGATTATTGTTACATTAGAGCAATATAAAAATTTTCATGCAAAACAAAATGGCCGTTTCTTGGGAAGTTAAAACTAGAAAATCATACATAAAACAATCAACAATAATAGGCGTTAGGGAAATAAAACCATGTAAGAATCTAGTCATACAGATTTTAAAGTATAGAATATAAAATCAAATTAGATTTGGCATTGACTTTCATTCCAAACTGTATGTTAAACTACTGATCAGCAAAATATAATTATAAGGTAAATGGTAATAAAATATCCATTTTCTGTTCTACTGAACCATAGTAGATCATCTCTGCCCTTGTTCGATAAAGTCCCATCGTCGGTAAATAATACTTGGATTAGAATACTCTTTGATGAAAGGAGTAAAATTGGATAAGTCATCATAGCCACTGCTTCACAGTAATAATACTACGCATGACGTGAGATATATGTTTTAGCTAACTATACGTTACTGTATTCATGTATTAATTACAAAATACTGTTACCAAGCTCCAGTACTCTTAGGACATCAATGACTGAAACACAGAGTTATTTGATATTCTTAGCTCGAAGTTCCTAACATTTATAAACGTGGATCAGATCTGCGCTATCGCACATCTAATGTATCGATGTCAGAGAAACTTCAGAAATGCACTAAAAGTGACTTAAATTAACATAGATCACTTTGGTTACAAGTAATTTTAATCACAATGATTTCTCCACAATACTTATTGAATACAACATTAATAATTTGTTTAAGTTACTTTTAGTTTTAAAGAATGGGTGGAACGTAATTAGAACTGGAATACAGAATTTACGTACTGATTTATTAGTCATTCGCTAGATGGACCTGGATCCCAGGGTTTATATTCACTCTGCGATTCTGACTCAGTACCTTAGGCTTCAAAGTATTAACGCGTTATCCGTTTAGCTACTGAGTTTAGCTGGTTACTCACTTCTACAAAGGGGTATGAATTTTAATTCAGTTTATTCTGTATCTGTTATAATCCAAAGTATTATCAAATTGATTAAAACGCGAGTCCTACTTCTCACTACTAACCACATTCTATCTATTCTATAAAAAAAGACTTGCAGCATAATAGCTATAGCAAGGTAATCCCAAAGCGACTCACAAATCCCAACTGATTAAAATTCCGTCGAACTATCATCAATGGATAACCCCACCCGTAGCTCTTCTAGGGTTACTGCCAGTCCTCGAAACAGGTAAAAAGGTGAGTAAGGCATGGGGTCAACAAACCCATCTCGTAGGAAACAACCTTGCTAAAAAAACACTAACCAGAATAGACAAATTAAACCATTTAAACTCTGACCTTTGAGTTGAAGGAAGAATTATGATGCCTCACAATGGAAGCAACTAGAAAGGATCCATGACCTGGATGAATTCCTATTATTCTGAGACGTTACCTAAAAGAATTATTTTGTTGGCAATGAATATATTCAGTTTATGCGTGCGTAAATCTAATCAAAAATAGAAAAAAAATCTCTCAACTATCATGTGATTGTGAAGTTTTATTTTCTCTCTCATTAAGAAACTGTAAACTTATAATGATTATATTTTGTTGGTTCAGTTGATAACTTAGTTACCAACTGAGATACTATACAATTATAATGATGGAATACTTCTTAATGAAATGAAACATGTTTATTCTAAGGAAATTTCAATGTGTTTCACGTCTACACAATAGATCATTTCATTTACACCATAAAAATACTATTGTTTGCTTAAACTCCAATCATTTATGAAATTTCTTTTAATTTTCTTTTCAAACTGCAGAGTGAAGTTTCCTGATTCACATTTTTTATTGTATGTAATATTAAATATCAATTATATTATTACAGTTACATGTCTCTGTATCCACCTTTAGGAACTGTTCGTTTCTGTTACAGCATCAACATTCAGGATGTATCAATTTATGTATATAAAACTTAAGAACTAGCTGAAGATACTTTTATTCTTGATATGAAACTATTGTATCATAAAGAGTGCTATGAATATTTAGCGATCCTTTAACCAAATGTGTAATCAAATTTACACTAAGTATTCATAGTGATTAGAGTAAATATTATACCATTTGAACTAGTTATTTGATAGAATCATTCATTAAATAAAATAGAAATCAAATAATTTTGAAGGATATAGTGAGATATAAGCAGAAAAACATTACTACTGTCAGAATGAATGAAAGCGTCTCTTTTCATCTAATCTTTATTATTATTTCAGTATAATAACTGTAATACAATCATAAATGACTTATATTATGACTTGTATTAGATCCTGATATAAACATAAGTGACACATATTACAGTTATGGATAAGTAAGAAAACTCTTCATAGACCTAACTGATATTTTTTTCTGATCCCCAATATTACAAAAATATCCTTCATCTATTTTTATTTCATTCAGTAGTATTTTACGGTATTTAGGAGGTAAACTTAATTCACAAAATCAAAAATACTTAAATACTTTTTTTACTTATTTTACTTACGCCTGTTACCCCTCGGGGAGGAGCATAGGCCGCTCACCAGCATTCTCCATCTAACTCTGTCCTGGGCAATCCTTTCCAGTTCCTTCCAGTTGCTATTCATCCTTTTCATATCTGCTTCTATTTCCCGGCGTACTGTGTTCTTTGGCCTTCCTCTTTTCCGCTCCCCTCCCGGATTCCAAGTAAGGGATTGCCTTGTAATGCACATTGATGATTTCCTTAATGTATTTCCTATCCACTTCCAAAGTCTTTTCCTAATTTCTTCAGATGAAAGGTGGTTTGTAGTTATAATAAACTGAAAGCTTTTAGTGTTTA